ACAGACCTCTATTACACTGAAGTCAAGAACTGACTGAATTATCTAGAGAATAATTATAAGAGATCTCAATGATCTATTCTCAAGACCTATCTAGAGAATAAGTTAAGAGACTCTGTGAGCTGAACAGAGAATATCTGAGTCATAATCATCAATATTAGAAAAAGAGATGAGAAATCTAATGAAGACTACTCACAGTGCTTCATGAAATTATAGTGTAAATTGAGATCTGTGAAAACAGAGCTCTGAAACAAGATCTGAATAATGATATTCATGAAGAAGCTGAATAAAGACATGTAGAACAAGCTCATTGAGTAAGACTCTAAGTTCTTGATTCTGAAGAAACTGATAACTCTTATTCATCACTTACAGATCACTGTGAGAGTTACAGACTTATAAAGAGCAGATTATCAACCAGCTCTGTGAGAGTCAGAATAACAAAGAACAGATTTATTAGAAAAAGATAACAAGATATAGAGAGATTTATATCTGACTGCTGAGTAGAGAGAGAGAGCTTCACAAGCTTCTATGAACAGAGTGTATAACAGAGAGATCAAGAAAAAGAAACTCTGCTTCATTTATTCTAAATCAGAATATTTTCACACAAACTGTTCAGATAAATTAAAATAGAAATTTGAGAAGTTATAGACAGAGTCAGCAACAGCCTTCTTAAGAGTCTTGAAACTGACATCTGAATCTGTTACTCTCTTAATGAAAATGCTTGCTTATAGAGAGAGACTGCACTGCAGTACTACTATCTCACAAGCATGAAAAGCATTAATGAACTCAGAATCCCAGATCACTGTGATGTTTCTAAAGCTCACAGAGTAAATGAGCTGAAAGATGAAGACTGAGAACCTGCTCTTATAACAAGCAGAGTGTGAGAACTCAGATCTGAGAGCTGAGAAACTCATAAGAGTTATCTTTGAATTGCAAGATCTCTCTGAAATCTGAAGAAGATTTGTGAAAACTGTGATTATTATGAACATCACAGATGACATGTATTTGAGACTTGTATGACTTTAAAGACACAATCTGCACATAGCTGTCTGTGAGTCAGGTTTATACTTCTGATCAGTGTTAATAGACTCACTTACAGAGATAGAAGCAGTTGATACTGCAGAGTTGATTAGAGAAGACAAGCCTATCTATATAATGACTTTACAAGTGTCTGAGAACCTCACAGTCATGAAAACTGAGCTTCAGATATCAGAGAAATACTGAGATCTCACAGAGATATTCAGCTCAGCTAAGACAGCTGAGCTTTCTTCTCACTGTAAGAAGAATCTGATAATAGATTTGATAGAAGAGCAGAAACTCTTCTGAGAATCAATCTATAAGCTCTTTCATCATAAGACAGAGGCCTTGCAGACCTATGTGAAGAAGAATCTGAAGAATGACTTCATCTGATCTTCACAGGTCTCTGTGAAAGCCTCTGTGATGTTCATGAAGAAGAAGAATGAAGATCTCAGATTATATGTAGACTACTGTGACCTGAACTTCAAGATAATAAAGAGCTGCTATTCTCTGTCTCTGATTAAGAATGTGATTAACTGTCTCACAGAAGCTGTCATATTCACACAACTGAATATAATTAATATATATACATGACTGTGAATACAGTCTGAGAATGAATGAAAGACTGTCTTTAGAACTGCACTGAGACTGTTTGAATATCTAGTGATGTCTTTTGATCTGACTAATATCTCTACAGTATTTCAGTCTTTCATTAATAAAACACTTCATGCATATCTGAATATCTTTGTGATAATATATCTGAATGATGTGATAGTGTACTCTGTGAAGAAGAAAGAACACACTGAGCATGTACAAAGTATGTTAAAGACCTTAGATAAGACAGAACTGTATATTAAGCTTATAAAGTACAACTTCAGTGTCTATCAGATTAATTTTCTAGAATATGTAATTATCACAGATGATATTCAGATGAAATCTTCATAAGTTAAGACTATTCTATTATAACTGAAGTTAACTAGTATTCATGAGATTCAGATCTTTCTGAGCTTTATGAATTTCTATAGACAGTTTATCTTTGTGTTTACAAGAATCTTCTTAATTCTTACAGACATGCTGAAGAATGAAAATAAGAAGAAGAAGTCATTTCATAAACAGAGAATGAAAAGATTGTTAAGAAGAAAGAACTGTGAGAACTTTCTTATCTCAGAAGCTCATAGAGTCTTTATAAGATTGAAACAGACATTTATAGATACAGTGATACTGTTTCACTTTAATCTCTTACTCTTAATCAGATTGAAGACAGATGTCTTCTTCTTTATAATTTCAGAAATAGTCTCATAACTACAGTCAAATGAAAACTGAGTTTCAGTGATCTTTTTCTCATGAAAGATGCAATCTGTAGAGATTAACTATGACATTCATAATCAGAAGCTTCTCATGATAGTGAAATTCTTTCATCACTGATATCACTACTTTGAGAGTCTTATAACAGTGATTACTGTTAGAACTAATTATAACAGCTTATAACAGTTTACTTTAATTAAGAAACTCTCACAGCAGCAGATTTACTGAGCTTAGAGACTGAGTGAGTTCTGATTCAAGATAGAATATATTAAGAGAACTAAGAACTCAGTGAATGAACTCTCTCACAGATCAGACTATGTTAAGAAGGCCAGAATGACAGATACAGAGAGACTAGAGAAGATAGAAAAGCTTCATGAAATGCTCAGACTGAGTGTTGTAAAGAGATTGACTGAAGAGTCTCTCAATTCCTTATAAGAGAAGAGAGAAGAGAGAGAGAAAAAGTCTGTATAACTACTTTCTGCAACACTGAGAGTCAATACTCTGAGAATCTCTATGAGAATTCTTGAAGAGAATATCTATAATCTGAAGAATTTACAGGCTTTGAGAAGCATCACAGAAGACCTGATACAAGAGAAAACAGAGTATAAGTCTTTATAAGATCTTCTATTCAGATTGTCTGAACTGCAACTGAAGAATGAATATACTCAGTATATTTAAAAACTGCTCACAGCAGAGATTAACTCTGTAGAAATAAAGAATTGAAGAGACTTAAATAATCTCTTGTAAAGAGAGAGTCAGATTTATATGCCTGTGAATAAGTTTCTATGTGTAGAACTTATTAAAAGATATTATAACTCTTCTCTAACAGGTCATTTTACAGATACTAGAACTCATGAGTTGCTTATAAGAAAATACTTCTGACTGAAGATGTGAGAACTTGTAAAGAAGATAGTGAATTCTTATACTGTTTATCAGAGTTTGTGAATAGTATAGTTCAGATCATATAAAGAACTTACTTCTCTACTCATTTCATGAAAACCTTGAAAACAGCTAGAAATGAATGTTCTTGTGAGTCTCTCTGAAAGCAAGAATATATATAATGCCTGCTTTGACAGTGTGCTGATGATAGTGAATCACTTCATCAAGATAACACACTTTATACTCACTCATAAGAACTTGAAGTTAAAGAATTTGACTCATATCTTCATCTGTGATGTGATCTGATTGCATGAATTGTCTGTAAACATTGTCTCAGATAGAGAATTAATCTTTATAGAAGAGTTCTGATCTGATCTGATAACTATACTGAAGATCTTATAAGATCTAAGTATGACTTTTCATCAATAGACAGATGATCAGACAGAATATCTGATAAGTATATTGAAACAGTATCTGTGATGCTTTGTTAATTACAATCAGAATAACTGAGTGCATTGATTATTATTTACAGAGTTCATATATAACAACTCAAAGCATGTCAGCACAGATAAAACCCTCTTAAAATACTCACTGAGACTCATTCACAGATAATCTTAATGAATCTGTAAGAGTATACTATAGAGTGTGATGATGCCTGTGAATAAGCTGAGAGAATTCAGAAGATCTGGGAGAAAGTCTGTGAATTCTTGAGAAAGACTCAAGAGTATCAGAAGAGATACTATAACTTCAAGCATATTGCAAAGAGTTTTAAGAAAGATAATAGAGTCTGACTGAGTCTAGAAAACATTATTATACAGAGATCTAGTAAGAAGCTGAATCTCTTACAGACAGAGTCTTGTAAGATTATGAAGAAAGTTAGCTTACAGTTCTACAGATTGAAACTGTCATCTGAGTTATAAATATATAATATTTTTCATATCTCTTTACTCTGTGAATATAAGAAATTCTCAGAAGAGAACTCTGTGACTTATCACTCTGTCTGTGAAGCACTAGAGAGTGAAAGAGAATATCAGATCAAAGAGATTATTAACTCAGAGAAGTGAGATTACAAGCTCTGATTCAAGATTCAGTGATAAGAATATTCTGATAAGATGAATAAGTTCACTTAAGAACTATTTAAGCAGATAAGATATCTGTAGAAGCTGAGATATGACTTTCATATCATAAATTCTGATAAGTCAGAATAATGTGATCTTCACTAAGAATCTGATTGTAATAAAGACATTAACACTGTCATTTATAAATCTTAGTCTATAAGATAATGAATTTCTACTGGAATGAACAGTCTGCAGCATATATAAGAAAAGAAGAAAACATGTTCTCATTAAAGCTAAAAAATAAGAAAATAAACAGGGCTGTGAATACAATTTAGAGATTAATAAAGAAAAAATAAAGAAAACTCACACTCATATTATCAATATCTGTGACACTTAATTCTCTTATAACTATCAATTTCTCTCTTCAAAGAAGCAGAGAGTATCATGTCTGCAGTACAGACAATTGTTACATTTAATATAAAGACTGTCAGAAATGCACAGACTTCAGAGAAGCTGAACATCAGAGTGTGCACAGTTGTAGCAGAGTCTTGAAGACTGACTATCTATGCATGTGATCAGATATCTCTTACAAAGCTGTGTCTGCTCTCTCAGTTATGCTGAAGTATTCAGTCTGAAAATAATGAGAATGTGAAGAGAGAGCTCATCTGTTTAAGTTAACTCTCATCACAAATTCATGACATTTGCATTGCCTTAATTACCTGGATTTTGCAGGTACCTGGGGACTCATCTCTCATTAGCAATGAGATTGTGGAAATGTGCTGCGGCGTGAGAATCATTGATAGAAAATCTAGGCATATTCACATATGCCTGGTCAGAGATTGTATGAACAGAAGAGAGGTGATTGTAGGCCTGCAGAACTGCAGAAGACACTGACAACATCAGAAGCTTTGTAAGAACTGTCAGCTAGAATCTGTAAGAAATTACTTATGAGAAGACTTACAGCAAAGAGAAGAACTGCACTGCTTAAAGCCAGAGACTGGCCTGAGAAAGACAGGGGGTTGGCCGCTGATCTGAAGATCAGATGCAGTGGCAGAGCTGAGAAGAGTGAAGACATGATTGTGAGCAGTGATGCCCCTGCTTCATCAGCCAGTAAAAAGCAATCAGAGAAGTTGTGAGAACACTCATAAAAAGCTCAGCAGTGATCAGACATTGTTTATAAAGAGATTGAAATTGAAAAAATTTTTATTCTTGAGAAGTTCTTGAATCAATATGCAGACACTGTCAGAAACACTCTCTCTCTATCATCTGAGTGAAAACACTTCACAGATGAATGAAGATACTCACAGTTTATAAGAATGAGAGCTGTTACAGAAAAAGAAAAAAGAAGATGAAGTTCTGTGAACAGATCTGAGATATTTATACTACTCTAGAGAGGTTTGCTTACACTGTGAATGATTTCATAGAACAGTCAGATCACTCTAGTAAATAAGAGTGATTATAAATTACAGGCCTGAATCTTTCTATATGACTACAAAGAGTGATTACAGACTGTGAACATCTTGATTCTATAATTCTACAGAGTTGATGAAAGAATGGAAAATTCCTCACAATTCTATAGTGTCAAAGAGCAATGATTTGTGAGAATAAATAAAAGATTAACTCATGAATATTTCTCTTTAATAAGAGTAATCTCACAGAGAGTGATTCATCTGTGAGATGAATCTGTGTGATGATCACACAAGAATCTCATGAAAATGATTGAGAGTCAACTGAAATTCTTCTGTATGAAAGGTGTGAGATGAATCTGTGTGATAGTCAGAGAAGAATCTGTAGATCACAAAGAATCTCATGAAATAAGAAACTGAGTGATAGACTCTTTTCTCTTCACAGTAACAAGGGATTTTTCCTCACTGAGGTTTTTTATAGATATGAAGAGTTTTTAGTGAGTATCACTGCAGTGCTGAGCTGACTATGAAGTCACTCAGTGAAAGGCTTCACAGATGAAGTCTTAGAGAGAAAGAGATATGTAAGAAATCTCACTTCTCACAGATTCTTTATCTCTATTTCTATCTCTTGTGTAATCAATAGAGCTAGCAGCCCTTGACTACACACAACTATATAGACTGGAGTTCATGAATACTATTCACAACTCAGCTTGAATACTATTATATATTTAATTTCTACATTTATCTTCCTATCATGAACACTTCTAGTAGTTAACAGTACATATCATGCCAAGCTGCAAACACCCGAATAATTGCCTGCGAGCACTTATTCTTACATTTCATCAGTGTTAAGATTATAAGTCTTTTTCTTTTTATCTTTTCTTTCTGACACTGATTTTTCTGTTCTTAGAGAAAATTGTTATGAGTTTTGCTATGCATGAAGTCATGATATTCACAAATATTAAGAAACTTTTCACAACTGTAAAGTTCAATATTACAGAGATATTCACTCTGACAAATTCCTTTAAAATGATAGATCTGTATCAGTCTATTCTCTGACATCTGTCATTTAACTTCATGATGCAGATGAAAGATATTCATGTTTTCAGAAATAGAAACATGAATGTCATTCTCTTTTACACTCACAGATGTGAGGCTCATACATCTTGTCTAAGATGTCATTATGAGAATGAGCTATTCATACACTGTATTCTGCTTTCTGTATTTCTCTGTGTCTCTCTCTCTCTTTCTAAGAAGTCTCATGTGTGTTGTAATTGCATATACAACTCTAAGATCAGTGAGTGTTTATTCAGTAACTGTTCTTACCTCTGATTTTGCAATTTTCATACACTAATAATAATTCTTAGTTGCTTCAGTGTCAGAGATCATTCTGATCAAAGATGATAATGTCACTGAGACTACTCTCTTTCACTCTCAAGCTTCTCTCATCACTTTCTCTTTCTCCTCTGTGGGGAAGATTGTGTGCACACTGAATTATAAGTATTCAGCTCTGAGTGACTTCTGCTGTTATTTATTCAGTTCTGTATCTTCTTCTTCTTCTGTTTCTTTCACCTTCACTCTCTCTGCTCTGACTTCTGATTCTGTGAGTTCTGCGCTCTTCTTCAATTTCTCTACATATACACATGTGTAGACTGACCGTGTGACCGTGTCTGAGACCAGGACTAAACTTTACAGTTATTATATTACCTAAAAGCATTACTTCTGATCATGATTTGTATTCATCACATTGATCTCAAATCATGTTATTTCAAATATTAAAGGTCTCAGATTCACTTTTCAAATAAAAATCTAGTTCTGAATAAAGAATATGTTTGAATTCTTAGTTACATTTTCATTCTGATCTCATTATTGAGAATGATATTAAATGAGATTATGAAATCACTTCTCACTTACATAATATCATAACATAGTGCTCATTTGTTGAAAATTCAATAGAGAGTATTATCAAATATTATTACTTTTCTGAACATAGATCATAATTCATATAATTTTAATTATAAAAAAAACATAAAATACAAAAAAAAACAAAAAACAAAAAACAAAATAAACACAAGAAAAATCACATTAAAAAAAAAAAGAAAAGAAAAAGAAAAAAATAAAAAATAAAAACAAAAAAATAAAAAATAAAAATAAAAAAAATCAAGATCACAGAGCTGTAGTACTCTTAAAATACTCACTCTTCAGAGTCTTTACAATGTTTATTATCAATTATGTATTTCTCACAGTGAGAGTAACACAGTTATAATGAGTTATTATCTTAACATTATCTAATAAATAATCAGTATATATCTGTATAAATGTGAATAATTAGAAAACATACACTTAAAAAGTGTGGCCAGAGTGAACTCTGCTGCTACTTGAATGACATTAAAAGCAGAATGCTGAAATTGATGATTCTTCTCATCAATTTCATGAACAAGACATGTGAAGATAATCTTGAGAAATATAAGATTCTCTGACTTCTGATAAAAACAGATCTCACAGAGAGACTCTATTTTCATGATATCAGAAACTGAGTGTTATTAAAAAGCATTACTTTCATACAATGCATATACACTTACTGTGACAATTCACTCTCTGTGCATGTAACTGAGAGTTGCAGCTTTCTCACACTGCATGACTCTTTCTGAGATGCTGCTGTCAGTTTGCAACTTACACAGTCTTTCAGTTCAGCATGCACTGCATATATACAGCTCTGTGTACTGAGACTGTGTTGATTATTATGATCTGATGTGATACTTGCTTTTCACGAGCTATGTTTCATTTGAGAGAGAGAAGAGAGAAGATGCAACTATTGTTTTATTAAGAGAGAGATAAATAATTAGTATTATTGAATTAATTTAATTCATCTGCATTTAAAATTTGATTAATTTATACTCTTTAATTTGAGAATTTCTATAAGTGTTTTAATAGTTTTCATACTAGCTTGAACTTAGTGATGAATTGAAGAAGAAGAGAAAAGAGAGAAGAAAGAAATAAGAATAACTTATCTTTATAATATGAAAACAGAGAATCACTGTAATCATTCTTTCTAGTAATAAAGATCTGTTTTCTGCATGTATCTCTGATATAGATTATATAATAAATATATACAAAGAATATCAATAGTGTATGTATTGAATAAAGATAATATTACTATGTAACACTGTAGCTGTTTCTGTACATCTCTGAAAGCTGTTAATAGTTTCTTTATCTCTTTATATTTGATAAGTTAATAATATATTCTGATGCACTCTTTCTTTCATCATTATCATTATTATCATCATTATTATCATCATTATCATCATCACTATCATCATCATCATCATTATCATTATTATTATATCATTGCCTGCCTTCACTTCTCTCTTCAATACTTATTAAAATCAATCATGTCATCTCTCTTCAAATATTCTGCGGTTCTGCGGATCACTAAGACGCGTGAGCACTGTCACAGATTGAAGAGAGAGGAGAAGAAGGTGTTTAAGCACAGAGAGACAGATTGTAAGATATATTATAATGCCTTGAAGAGACTCTGTAAGAGAGTAGAATAATAATGATTTTAAGTAACACTTCTGATAGATTTAGACTGAACTAAGTATAGAAATAATACAGATGACATCATCTGTGAGAGATTGAAAAAGAAGATAGTGAAGAGTCTTATATAGTAGTAGTGAGATCAGAAGAAGTTCTGAGAATAATTTGAGACTAAAATGAAGAGAGAGAGGAAGAAGAAGAGTGTTACTATAAATAAGCAGTGATAGAAGAAGATTAAGAAGATATTAAAGTAGAAGACAAAGAAGTCAAAACTGATAAGTTTTTTATTAAGAGATAATGATTTTTAATAACACTTCTGTTCTCTAATTGATTAGCAGAAGCTGGCAGAGAAGAAGAAGATTGAGGTCTTATTTAGGTTTCAAATGCACTTCATGATTCAGAACATTGAGAAGGCAGCTCTACTCTCTGAGCATGTCAATCTGCTTATCACTGAGATGAAACCTGAGACAGCAGATCAGAAAATGCAGGATTTTGAGATGCAGATTGATCTGACTGAGAGAGAGTAGTGAGAACTCTTCTCTGAGAAGACAGTGAAGAGAGATTTTGAGATGATTATCATCTCAGATAAGAAGAAGAAGAAGAAGAAGAAGAAGAAGAAGAAGAATGAGAAGTAAATTATGAAGAATGATAAGAAGAATGAGAAAGAGAAGAAGTAGATTTTTTTCTTTTTATATTAGTTAGTTATAAGTTTAAGTTTTTAATTATTAATAATTAAAATTGATTTTGAGTTTTCAAAAATTATTGTACAAGTTGTAATCAAGTCAGGAATGATATATATATATATATATATTTAACTATCATGATTCACAAATCACTATAATATATAAGTATCAATATTTTTTCAATATTGATATTCACAATATTAATATATTTTTAATGATATTATCTGATAATGTAATTTGATAATACTCTCTTTCACAATATTAATATATTTCAAGAAATATGATAGAGATTAATCAAGATTATTTATTTACTTTTATACATCAATGATATTCAATCTGAGTTAGTACTAAAATTATAACTAAGCTAAGAAACAAGATTATTTTCTCTTATATTAATTCTTCTTACACATATCAGTGATCAGTTATTGAAAATAAATTATCATCTTTCTTAAATTATTATCATATCTTCTAAATTCACTTCTTTCACTTCTTTTACTTCTATTGAAGATTCACAAACTCTTTAAGAAATCACTGTGAATCACAAAGTCTATATTATTTACAATTCAACACAGAATACTCTCTTTCAATTATGATAAATAATCACTTCATTCTTCACATCTGATTTCAGGTCATGAAATTTATGAAAAACTCAACATAAATATTGAGATGAACTATGAAATAATTATCAACAGATTGTATTACAGATTACTGAAGAGTTATCTCTTTACTACAATCACTGCAACTTCATTCAGAAACATTCATCATGAACTGATTATAACTCTAGAGAAATTTTCTG